TCCGGTCTGGCAGGTCCATCGGAGGGGCAATGGAGAAAACTCCTCGCTTCTGCAGCATCCAACAGAACCAGGCAAATTCTACTTGTCACAACTCCCTTGTGCTGGCACTGAGAAATATGAAACTTGTCCATTATATTAATAATCAAATGAAATGCTGATATGTCTAGAGCAATTTAGGCTCAAAAGTTATCTGAAACTGAAAAGCTTTTATGAGTGGGTCAGATGTCCTGTGATGAATTGTTCCAAACAGTGGAGCCAAAAACATTTTAAGTTAGTACTGTGAAATTAGCTTTCCATATTGATAGGAATGTGAAGGTTTTGAGCTCAACAGTCTCTGTAGATGCATCCACACAGAGCAGGCCCAGGAGCCTCCCTATCAATTTGCGTTAATCCGAATGGATGAAATGTTGGACACTGAAATATTAGAACCTGCCATGTTAATTCTCCAAAGGTAAAGCCTTTTTAAACAATTGGAAGTGGAGCCTCCAGGAAAAGGGGGAAACAATCTCCTACTTAACTGCCCAATAAAATGCAGCCAGCATCTTTCAGATCTTTTATTTACCAAATATTTGGTGCAACACAATTCTCTTATGATACAAATGGCTAAAGACTTTGAGAATATCAACCACATTTTCAGCATTAGGCTTCATAATCCTGATTTGAAGACTTTCTACCAGCACTGCCTAAAGGAGAGAGGATTGAGGATTAAAGGTTTATATCAGAAGATGGATTAAACTAAGATATAAAATATGCATTAGACTGCACTCTACTGAATTTGCTCCAAGAGGAGTTTATTATTTTAGGCTTCCCATGTCAGGATAGAATTTCTAGACTTTTAGGGTGGTAGATTAGTGGCTTTGATGCGTAAAATACATTATGGGAAGAAAACAACAGCCTTTTCTTGACTGATAAGGTTATTAGACATAAAAAGACAAAAGTTTCCCTTTTAAAAATATACAGGTTTCTATTTTTAAAATATTTGTTTTCTACAATACTAATGTTAACAGGAAGATTGGTTAGGAAGTGGTGAGCTGATTTCCAGCAGGGAGCAGTGGTTTGGGAAGCAGTCTAGGTCTTGGCCAAGGATGGTCTGGCCCACACATGCTCTCTCCTGACTACTAAGGTGAGCATGAGTTGCTACTCTGTGCCTTCTCAGCTGGCTGCTAATTCACAACGAGAAGAAAGAAGAATTCCATGAGTTGTCCCCAGCCTGCCTGCACTGTCCCATTGATTTTGGGGTTAAACTCCTTTAAGACCTATGGATTTAGTTCAGCATCTTCATGATAATTTGTCTGAATATAATTCCTGGTCTTGACCCCAGCAATCAATTAGGTCTTAAGCTTCTACAGATGCAACCATAGGGAACTAAATATTTTTGTTATTGGAATGGCCAGTAAGAATATTTGAGCTCAGGAATATCATATGAGAAAACATTAATTTGACTAATGTTATAGTTTCTAGCCATGCTGCTTATTTTGTGATCCTGGTACTAGTTTCTAATTCTTGCCCTACTTCACAGACTTTATTCAACATTTTATGTTTTTTTCTTTTTTTGTGGGATCTTCAGGTTTAATTTCTGAAATAATAGCAATAACAAGAAAGCAATTCTCTTAAAATGGTGAGGATAATAAAGTGAGAATTAATCACTCAAAAGCTAGCATTTTTGACCTTACTTAACTCATGTAATCTTCATCAAAACCCCATGATGTAACCTCTATAGTTATCCTAATTTTAAAAACAAGAAAACCAAAGCACAAAGAGGTATTATAATTTGCTCAAATTCATGCAGGTAATATGGAGAAGAACAAAGATTCAGGTGTAGGATGTTGGACTCTAACCTATGTCCTTAAATATAACTGTGCACACAATACTGGGATTTTCTTGATCCCAAGTCAGTAACTTGATAAATTGTCAAAAGATTCACATGATATCTTTTTTATACAGTAGTCAGTAGGGTTAACACTGTGCTGGGTACCATGGGAAAAACGTTTCAGAGGTTAAAATCCACTCTCAAAAATTTAAACATCTAGTGGATTGTTAAATATCAAACCTGGAGGTTAAAAACAAGCCATCATACTTTGGCCAACATGATATGATACATCTATCTATACGTACGCATAGATACACACACACTCAACAGATCTAGGCCAATCACTGGATTATTAGTTTCCAGAATTGGCAATGATTTTAGATATCTTAATGTTGTAATAGTATATTATGATAATAAAAGGAGGAAAATAATCTCACTCAAGTGTGTTTAACAACTATGAGGACAATATTTACATAAACACTGGCTATCATATGATTGAGTGAAGACCAAGCTGCAAATACCAATGTGCAAATCATTACCAAAATCTTCCAGGTTAGCAAGTGAAGGGATAAATAAAAGCAGATAACTATTATAAATGTAATAAAGCCTCTAGATTTTGAAGCAGTGAGGCAGTGACTTCCTAATATGCCCAACACCAGACTGGGCAATTATGGTTCATGGGTTTCGAGGTTAGGAGGAAATGTTTTAATAAAAACTAATTGGTATAAATATCACTAAATTGGCTTAGTTTTCTGTTGAGCTCCAGTGGAGGGATATTGGTGTTCCCACCCTTGGGAAGGTTCAGACAAGAGAAGAAGCCTTCCCACCCTTGGCACCATGCCACTTCCTGGCTGGCATCATGGCCTCCTTCTTCTGCCAAATGGGACTTCTAGACCTTTAGGAGAGAGGGAGTGGAAGTCACCACTGAGGGAGCTGGAAGTCTTTATGATACAGGGACACAGGAAATTGCTCTGCTGCCTGCACAGAGATGACCAGAGCAGAACACAGGGCTTGGTCAGAGGAGCCCTGACAGCACAGCACTGCACCTGGCCTGTGACGCTGAAACGACCAGCCCCTGGGGACACCGGGTGCCCAGGGACAGCCTTGTTGCGGTGTGGTGGCAGGAGACAGACCTGGACCATAGAGGGGTTCCCGTTGCTCTATGCCAGGTTCTGGGTACCTGTACACATCGGCTGTGGGAGTCACTTTCTGAAGCTAGGAAAGACCAAGGCTGAAAATAAGAATAGCTTGATTTGTTCCATTTTTTCCAAAAAAGTTCATTTCCTATTAACTTTTGTACTTTGTTTTTGTTATCCCTCAAGAATATTGTAAAACCTTAACATGAACTTACAGCCAAAACCAGGAGAAAATGTAAAGTGGAAAGAAATAGTTACCATGTAGCCAAGGGTAGTGACACTGCCAGTCCCTGCAAGGTCGCTGAGCAGGCCCGGAGTTGGAAGCTATACCATGGGATGGATGTGAGCACCTGGTTCATTCCTGCCCTGGAGCCCCAAATCCTTCCAGCTCACAGACCTCTCTTAAAACTCGTAAATGAGGCCCCAGCCCCCAGAGAGAGAGAGACTCCTTGACTATTCAAGGAGAAGCCTGCTTACATTTGCAAAGGTGTCCACCTGCCCAGGAGCAGGAGCACCGCTGGGGCTCCACATTGCTTATAAAAGCAAGATGAGAAGATGTCGTTTTCTATTTCAAATAACAGATTAGGGCAAAACTGCTCTGCAATTTGCAACATTTTCACATCTTTCTCTCCACAGTGACCACGACCTTTTCTCTTTAAGTTACACAGGGACCATGTTCATTAATAATTTTTCTTCGCAAGGTTGAATTCATTCGATTTCAAAGCTGATACAGATTCGTAGCTGTTAGTCATAATTAGTTGCTTAGAAGGGTGTGTGTGTGAGGGGGGTGGTTAGTGCCTCATTAGCTCCTTTCTCATTTCGTCTAAAATGTGAGAAGCAATTAGAAAGCAAAAGGGAGACCACTTGTATCCAGAAGATGCTGACCTGTGCTAATAAATTCATTTAAACTTTATACTTTGTCCTTCTGCTGGTAAATTACTAAGCTGGAGCCTGAGACTGTCTTCCTGTACGTGAGGCAGGACTGGGGAAGGTGTCACATGCTCTGCTCCAATCACAGACAATCACCACGCCTTGGTCCCCATCCCCGGCCACCCTGGGCTTGCCATGGGTGGGTATAGAGTGCGGTCACAGCACCCTGCCAGGAGTTCCTGTCTGGGCAGGAGGGTGGTGGAGATGTGTGCACCTGGGTTGGCCACAAGACAGCAGAGGGTATCACAGCAGGGTGGCAGGAGACCTGGTCCATGGACAAGCGAGGTGTCTGGTTTGCAGCCTTGAACTGTGCTCTTCATTTCCTAAGTCTCTTAGTTCTGTCAAACCCATGTGTTGAGAAAATACACGGAAAACACTCCTAGCACAGTGCCTGACAGTTCTCACTGTGGCCACGGAGCACCGCAGAACACATCTGTGTCAAGACACACGTGACACCCAGCACCAGGGAAGACCAGGCTACATTCTCAGCTGATCCTCCCGGACTGTAGCTGGACTTTCAGTCTTCACAGTTATGACAGATCCTGGACCTTTATTTTTGCTCGAGATAGTGTCTTCCTCCTTCTCCCAGATAGCTTTGAACTCCTAAGCTCAAGGAACCTGACTGCCTCAGCATCCAGGAATAGCCAGGACTACAGATGTGTGTCACCACACCTGCCCCAAGGTCTATGATCTTTGGACCAAGGAGGACGTGTGTACAGCAGGAGACTCCTCTGGGACTACAGCAGCCTGATGGTCTGGGATTGCCCTGAGCACTTGTTGCAGGACGGCCACTCTCACAGGCACTTGCTCTGTGGGACCTGTGGTCCCCTCTGCATGATGAACCATGGATGCTCTGCAAGTGTGGGGTCCCTAAGAAGCCGGGGTTTTAGTCAGGACAGTCATGAAGATGGCCAAAGGTGTGGATATTCTTGGATCCCCAAGAGGCTGAGTCAGCTTGAGCACCTGGCCTTTGTTTCCTCACTTACATAATGAGGTGATAAAAATGTATTCGCATTGTGAGGCACACAGGATGCTAGAATGGTGAACAATTAATGATCTCAGAATGGGTGGGGAAGAGGCCATGCTAGGAGGGAAAATAAAGACTCAAGCTCCACATGGCATGAGGTGAGTCTCAAAGCTGGTCAGTGACTTCCAGGAGGGCACATGGTGAGTATTTGGCTGGGTGAGGTAGATGGATGTCGTCTCCATGGCCAGGCTGGAGTGAAGGTTGGGGACCAGGCTGGGCATGGATCTTCAAGACACAGTGCCTGTCCAGCACACATGAGGCCCTGACCACATCCTCAGTACAGAGACCAAACAAACAAAAACTAGGTTAGTGACTTGATTTTAAAAAGGAGGCTATGTCAAAAGCGTGAGGTTAGAACAGTTCTATCTGATGTCTGTGAAGCTACTCCCATCTGTGATCCCAGAGGCCTTAGAGAAGCTGTTGTCACCTGCAGCTTTCTGAAGGAAAATAGAAGCTCAGAAATGACCTTCCTTGATGTGTGGCAGAAGGATCCAATGCCCTAATTCCATGTCTTCCTTGTGATGTCCCTCACAGTGCCTCATGGATCACAGAAAGGGTGACAGGAGGAGTTCTGCTTTTCACAAGTACTCAGTGGTCTGTTAGTAACTTTTACTTCAGTCACATTCAGAAAATCATCACTGTGGATGGGGTGGGATGTCAGAGGTACAGCACTTGCCTAGCATATAGGACCCCCTGGGTTCCATCCCTAGCACCTCAAATAAATAAATTACATAAAAAACACCACACTGATACCATCCTTAGTATTCTACAGAATTTGCTGACATCATTTGCTGTTACTGGTTGAATGAGATAAATGTAATTCCCTTTTCCTCATTTTCTGCAGTTCTGAAATTAAACAAGGTCTTTACTAAGTGCCTCTGTGAATTGATTTGGTTTTAAGCCAAACCTTTCTGTCACTTTCTCCAGGATTTGTATTCTCAATCCAAGTTCTGTTTGATTTTGTAACACAAATGGGTTCCTTTGAGAACTCAAGGAGAAAGTGGATTCAAGTCGAAACCCTCATGGCTGACATTCACAGACGCCTTGACGCAAATCCCATATGCTCTCAGTACTGGTTACAGGCCAGAAGCTATTTAAAACATGCAACAAGCTTATAAGGTAAGTACTGCTATTATCCATATTTTACAGACAGCAAAACCAAGAGCCACGATGGCTGTGACGCCCACCTCAGTCCCCCAGGAAGAGGTGCAGTGAAGTTGGAAGCCAGCTCTTGGGATTGCTGTGGAAAACACTACGGCTCTAGGAGGAGAAGTGACTTATGGTAGAAGTCATGTGCATAAGTGTGTACATGTGTGTATGGGAGAGAGAGGGGGACAGAGGGAAAGACAGATGGAGCAGTGACATTGAGAACCACAGCCTGCAGTGTCTCAGGAAGTCTGACCCCCCGTGGCACAATCTCCACAGACTTATCTCTGAGCTCTGAGATAGGGTTCAAAGAGAAACTGGGGCTCCCCTGAGCCATCGAGACTGCTCACAACTTTCCTAGGGATCCTGGAAACAGGAGGACACATATAGTGTATGGTGTTGGAGGGTGGTGGCATCCCCGGGAGTGAGGCCCTGGCAGAGCCCAAGGACAGAAGAAGAGGCCCCAGGAGGGCAGTGGGCACCCATCTCAGGAAGAGGCATCCTCAGAGCACAGAGGATGGAACCAGTTCAGCCAAGGGCACTCCTCAGACCCTGCCGGGGAAGCTCCAAACAACAAACAACCAGGATGGAGAGAGAAGCCGCAATGAAACTGGCTTCCACCAGTGTTGTTAGAGGTGTCCTCATGTGCATAGTCCCTTCCCTGACTTTCCAGGGACCCCAGGAAGTCACTGCATTATCCATACTCCAACCTGGTAACAGCTTGAGAGATACAAATAAATCTTAGTCATGAGTTAGAGAGTGATGGTGAAGATTTGGGTCTCTAAGTGAACACAGAAAGTAAGAGAAATGATACTACCCAAAGGCCTTTGTCAGTGTAAAGAAATTACCTTTGTCTTGTAAATACTCAGCCTTTTTCTGGGTGTCATAGAAAAGCCATTATTTATTGTGAGGAAAGATAAAGATATAATAAATTCCTATGAAGGGTATATATTGGCCTACATGAAGCTGAAACTTCCTTAGTCACCCAGGAATGATAGTCAGGTCCACACTGCTCTAGCTGTTAGAAACCTGCTCTAGCTGTTTTTATGAGACACTGAGAGAATAGGGCTTTGAGAACAAGGTTTTACAAAATGAAGAGACACTCAGCCTTTTCGAATCTTTCACTCCAGCTGGAACGAGGATAAACTACCTTGGCGAGAAGTCAGGGCTGCTCCAGACTAATCCATCCCCTCTCACCTCTTTGTTTATCTCCCTTCCATTCCAATTAGAGAGATTGGGAGATCAGGCAGGAGCAGGTGTGGGGGCCACATAGCAGTGATACTGCCTGCCGGCTCTGCACCCTAGAGCCTGGCACTGCTCCCTCTGCCTGTCCTGGCTGTCCTTAGGGAGATGGAAGCAGAGCCCCTGGGGCCAGAGAACACAGGACATGAAGAAGTAAGGGACAGCATGGTGGAGGAGACAAGGGAGCTGGCTGCTGCTGGTGCTCTGAGATGAAGGGTGTCCTGTGTCTGCCAAGAGTGCTTCCCACTGACATGGGTGCAACATGTGAAGTTTCAGTCAGAAAACACTAGAAAACCCCCTGTTAAGGCATAAATATGTAAATCCTCAGCTCCATAGCCTCTTAGTTTTGTCTAGCTGAGCCACACATCTTCATTTGCTTAGAGTGGCTCAGGACTTTGTATACTGCTCCAGCTTCATTAGCAATTGTGTCCTCTTCACCATGAAAAATGTCCCAATTTGGAGGAGGCTGTGCATGGCAGGCCTAGTTTCTAGTTTCCTAGAATAGACCTGATAACACATGCATCAGACAAGCCTGCTCAGTGAGGGGCAGGAAGATTGGCAGCAGGGGGTGAGGGGGTGATGATCGGTCCGGTTTAGAAATGACCAGGCAGAGAGCCAGGTGAAGAAGACCAAGAAGCTGGAATGTAGCCTCTTTAAGCCTTCCAGCTGTTCCTCCAACCAGGGTAGAGAAGATCAATACAAATATGAGGGCAGAGAAATTTGTTACAGTACTCAACCTTATCTGAGGTATGATCAAAACATACAGTGAATTGAATGTATACATGATACATAATATAAGGTATTATGAATGAAGGGAGGTAGATGGAAGGGGATTAATGGCCTTTGGTCAGCATGTCTTTCACTGTAACAAACTTTCAAAAAAATATATACATTCACCATGGTGTATTATTCTATCATACCTCTTATTCAGTAATCTTTAGGATTAATATTGATATGTTCTGATTTCATTGTTTTTATCAATCTTCAAAGTTCCCATGTTCTATTTACAATTTTGATTTGAAGAACTATAAAACCTAAAGTGAACTAAACTGCACTGTTCTTTGAGAATATTTTGGCTAAAATCTATGACTTTGAAAGAGCCAAGGAAGCTTTGGTGTGAGGGAGTCAGGACAGGCATGCACAAGGATGGAGGCCTCCTGAGGGGTGAGCACCTGTGGCTGGGCTCTGGCTGTTGGCACCCGTGTGTGTGAGAGGTGGAAAGCGAAGGTGTTCGTGTACCTCAGAGCTCTAGGATGCTTACAAAAATAGCCCCTCAGCTGTGTGCATCCTGCATAGCTGGAGCCTGCAGCAGACTCTGAGGGTGATGTTGAGTCAAGTAATCTATGTAACATCAACTCCACATTCTCATATATTGAAGATCTATATTCATAATAGTTATGAGTGATATAAAGCATCACAATGAATCCTTTATAATTTTGTGTTGATGGTATTTGGGTGGGGAGTGGATGGCAGGAATATTGCTAAAACAGAAATGAATAAAATATGAATAAAATGAATTAAATGTAGTGAGGTCGCTGATTACAAAATAAAATAAGGGGCCACAATTTTATTAAATCTGCACATCTTTAAGTGAGTTTGCAATTTTGAGTAGAAAAGTCAAGTTTGGCCTGAAGCATTCCATGCCTGTTTATTTCTTTGTCCCTCAATTAAATAAAAAAGAGTCATTACTATTGTAAGTATCAGACATAGCTAGAAGGTTTGGAACATTTCTTTTCAAGGTTTTCACCTCAATCATTAAAGCTGAAATGAGTTGGAAACTCAGTGGGCGACATCCAACTGGGACACCGTTTTGGTGCAGATTCTAATGAGATACTGCCTCACCCACGTAAACTTAAAAAAATCTACAATCGAAATGAGAAAAAGATGTAGATTAAACACAGAAAGAAACTAGTCTACAGCTGTTAAAATATAAACACTAAGACTGAATCATGAAGAAATAAAAAATCTGACCAGACTTATAACTAGAAAGGTAATTGAATAAATAATCACAACCTCCCAACAAACAAAAGCCCAGAAGCATGTAAGGCCAATTTAGAATTATCCCAAACATCTAAAAAAGAATCAATGCCAGTCTTCCTGAAACTCTTCCGAAAAGCTAAGGATGAAGGAGCTCTCCTAAACTCATTATGTGAGGCCAGCATTACCCTAATACCAAAGCCAAACAGAGACACTGAAAGAAAATAAGATGACAAACCAATATGCAAAAATCCTCAAGGAAATACAGCAAAACCAATTCAACACACTTAAAGGATTATACACCATGACAAGGTGGGATTTAATCTTGAAATGAAAGGTGATTCAATATAGAAAATCAATCAGTGCAAACACCACATTAACAGAATTAAAAACAAAAAATCTTTAGTCATTTCAATTGAAATAGAAAAAGTGTTTGAGAAATTGAATGACCTTTCATGTTAAAACTATTTAACAAACTGGGAAGAGAGGAAGCTACCTCAGTGTTATGAAGGCCATACATGGAAAGTCCACAGCTAATAACAGGCGCAGTGGTGAGAAAATGGACAGCTTTCAATTCAAGACCAGAACAAGAAACAGGGCACCTCCTCTTTCCCCTGCATTCTGAGGATGGAGCCCAGGGCCCTGTCTGTGCTGAGAAATGCTCTACCCAGGAGCTGCACTCCTGCCCTCTGCATCCCCGCTCCCACTTCTATCCAACACAGTAATGAGGCAAGAAAAAGAAACAAAAACCACACAAATTAGAAAGGAAGAAACAAAATTAACTAAGTTCAAAAATGGCATGATCTTATATGGAGAAATTCCCAAAGATTCCACTAAAACTTAACATCAATAAACAATTTAATCAAGGTAGACATTTATAAAGTTGACATGCAAATTTCAGTTGTGTTTCTATACACAAACAATGAGCAGTACAGAAGTAATCAAGAAAATAATGCCTTAAAATAGCATTTAAAAACCCCAAATAAATAGGAATTACCTCAACCAAGGTGACGGAGCCTTATACACTGAAAAGCACAAAACATTGCTAAAAGAAGTTAAAGAACACATAATGAAAAGATAGTCTGTGCCCATGGGCTGGAAAAGTTAATATTCTTAAAGCATCCAGACTACACAAAGTGATCTACAGATTCAATGAACTACCTATCAAAATCCCACTGAAATTTTTTAAATCTTAGTTTTCAAAATAGTTTTAGTTTATTAGAACTGCACAATGTTTACATTACCTGTGGGAAGTTAGCACACATACATTCATCCCCTTTCCCTTCCTTCCTTCCTTCTCCATCCATTTCTTGATCTCCTTGCTTTTTTGTACATGTTTGCAGTACATGTTTACATTCCTCCTGTGAAGTACATGTACATAACACATCCCAATTTCTTTTATTCATCCCTTATCCTTTCCCTCCCTCCCCCTTACTTGTGTCTCTTAGTCCCCTTCCCCTTCTAGAATGTTTTACCTCCCTCCTTAAAATTGTCTATCTTTTACTTTGCTATTTATTTTTACTGTGGGTTTGAAAAAATAGAAATAATTCTAGAATTTATATGAATCTCAAAGGACTCCAAATTACCAAAATAATCTTAAAAAAATAAAACAAGCAAAAGGCCTCATACTTTCTGATTTCACAACATACTACAACTAAAAGTAATAAAAAACACAATGGTACTTACATAAAAAGGATATATAGACCCTTAGAAGAAAATAGAGAGCTCAGAAATAAACATTCACATATATGGTCAAATGATCTTCAACAAGAAAAGAGGGTGCCAAGATTGGATGATGAGGAAAAGACAATCTCTTCAACAAATGGTGCTGGAAAATTATAGATATCAATATGCAAGGCAATGAATTATATCATACACAGAAATGAACTCAAGAGGGAATAAGGTAGTGTTTACACACAGTGGAGTACTACTCTGCAATAAAGTAAGACCAACTTGAGTCATTTGTGGGAATGGATTCACCTTGGGACCATATGTCAAGTGAAATAAATCAGACACACAAGCTTAAATATTGCATAGTTTCTCTTATGTGAAAAATCCAAATTATAAATAAAAAGCAAAAGAAAATATTGATAACAAGAAGTAGGGAAATAGATCTTTCCCAAAAGAGAAGAGAATCAAGAGATGGAGGGAGTGGGGAGGAACTGCAGGGAATGGGAACAAAAAAAGAAATTAAGATGTGACATGTACAGTATATGCACCAACTCCATGTAGGAATATAAACATTGTTTATTACAAATACACACTAATAAGAATATATATTAAAGGTCGCACAGGACCATCCCTGCCACCCTGGCATTGTCACTTGGAGGCCAGCTGACTCCCCCAGACCATGCTGAGCAGACCTCACTGTATCTGGATCCACACTGCAGAGGTATGGGAGGATGGGGGTGGGGATAAAGGCCATGGTTATGAGCTCCAGATAGAGCAAAAGTGAACAACAGAGAGGTCCACTCTGAGGCTCCTCAATGAAAATTGAAACCCACTGGGAAAATGAAAAAAATCTCTGCAATAAAGGTACACCAGACCACCATGGTTGGTAAGTCAGTGGGATCAACACCTCCCATCAGAACCCAGACTCGGTTCAGAGGGAGGACAGCTGGAACCTGCAGTAGAACCTTGCAGAGTTCAATCCAGCAGAAGGTAAGGGACCTCAGCTTCGGCCTTGCAGCCCCAAATCAGCCTGAATTTCAAAGGACTACAGCTGGTTTGCTGAGACTAATGGATTTAGATCTGCACACTACTCCCCATGTTGTCTACCATGACAGCAGAGACATAGCCTGAAGGAGGCCCTTTTTTAAAAAATTTATATATATTTGTTTTTCTTTTCTTTTTTTTTCTCTCTCTCCCTCCTTGTTCTTCATTTCTCTCCCTCTTTGTTCCTGTTTCTGCCCTATTTCAGTGTTTCTCTCTTTTCCCTTCTCTCAACTGTCATTATTCTTATAGGAAGGTGAATACAATTTCTAGCTTCCCTATTGGTGTTAATTTATTCTGTTCTTGTCTTTGTTCCTTCACTCTGTCTTTTTCTCTTGTTGACAACAGTTTCCCAAAGTTTGTTTGATCTTCTTGTGTCCTTTAGCCTCATTTCTAACCCTTCCCTCTCCTTCTATCTCTCTATCCCTCCATCCCCAGCTCCTTCAAAGTCCTCATCCCAAAGGGTAAAGTTACTATATTGAAGAGTTTACTTACTACAAACATATTTTGGGCTGGTCTCGATTTTGATCTAGTTCACACAATTGAAGGGGATAAATTAATAGCTACCACAAATTGTCATTTTCTAAGCTGTGTTTGATGATACTGTTGATGCTGATTGTATCACTTGGGCTAAGTAATTGATCATGATTGATCTAATCAGTTGTCCTTCCTGGTATACTGAAAACGAGATTGCCTAAGAGTCATTAGAGATTCAAAGCCTAAAGACCAGCTATACCTGGAAGACACCTCTGAGAATCAATCATTCCATAAGGGTTATAAATACAAGCAGTAAAGATACTCACAATAAGCAATATTGAAGTATCAACCCAGGAATTAAATCAAAAACAGCACCAACAACGAAAATAGAAATGGAAGACACCTAAACAAGGTGCAAACCCAGACTTCCAGTTTACCAAAGACAAATTCTGGGGGCAACGAAGTGGAAAAATCTGATAATCAACCACTTGGACATCCTGAACTGATAGCATGGGAAGTAACAAAACAGATGAACGAAGCTCTAGAAAAATTCAAAACAGAAATAATTTCTCAGATAACTACAGAGATGGTGAGCAGAAAGAAAGATGTGATTAGAGACTGTAGAACAGAAACAGATGAAAAAATACACAAGCTCAGAAGCAGGATGGAAGCCATGAATGCCCAGCATAGGAAAGAAATGGAAACCATGAATGCCCACAGGAAAGAAATGGAATCTATGAAACAGATTCAAACAGATACCCAGGGGATTAAAAATTTCATTGAAAGTATTCACAGCAGAATGAGCCAATGTGAAGACAGAATATCAGATATGGAAGGCAGGATTGCAGTTAGTGACCATGAAAAGAGAGATTTCTTAAAAATAGTAAGGGATCATGAGAAATCGAACCAGCAGCTGCTAGATGAAGCAAAAAAGAAAAACATAAGACTGATAAGAGTCCACAAAAAAAGCATAAGAAAGTACAAATGACACACACACATAAACTGTTCACTGAAGTAATGGCAGAAAACTTCCTGAGCAGAGGAAAAGAATTTGATACACAGATAAGTGAAGCATATAGAACTACAACTAGGCATGATAAAAAAAAATTCTACACCTAGATATATAATATTCAATATCCCAGAAACCCAACAGAAGAACAAAATCCTACAAGCAGTAAGAGAAAAGAAACAAATCACTTACAAAGGAAAGCCCCTCAGAAATGCAGCCGACTTTTCAACAAAAACCTTCACATCAAGGAGAGCCTGGAGTGAAGTATTTCAAGCCCTAAAAGAAAATAACCTCCAACCTAGATTGATGTATCCTGCAAAATTACCTTTCAGAATCAATGGGGAAATTAGATACTTCCGTGACAAAGAACACCTGAAAAACTTCATGAATACCACACCAACACCCCAAACAATTCTAAGCAATATCCTAGAAACACCCAATGAGGGTCATAACTCCATGAGGCCCAAGAGAGAAAAGCCATCAGGAAAGGCAAGAAATTAAAGGGGAAGGGGGGAAAAATAACAAAAGAGCCAACAACAGGAAAATACCATAACAAGGATAAGTCAATATGTATCAATTATTACCATCAATGTTAATGCCCTCAATTCACTAATCAAAAGAAATAGACTGGCAGAATGGATTAAGACACAAAATCCAACAATATGCTGTATATAAGAAGCACGTTTAATTCAAGTATAAATTCATAGACTGAAAGCAAAGGATGGAAAATAATTCTCCAGGCAACAGGAACCCAGAAAAAAGCAGGGGTACCTATCTTATTTGCAGACAAAGTAGATTTCAAACCAAAACTAATTAAGAGAGACAAAGAAGGTCACTACATCCTTATAAAGGAAACAATCCAAGAGAAAGAGATGACAGTCATAAATATGTGCCAAATACTAGCACATCCAACTATACAAAACAAATATTAATGGACACAAAAATCCAAATAAGAACTAATACAATTGTGGTGGGGGACCACAAAACCCCACTGTCACAAACAGACAGATCATCTAGAAAAAAAAAATCAACAATGAAACACTACAACTGAATCAAACTTTTGAACAAATGGACTTAGTAGATGTGTACACAGTATTCCACTCCACAAAATCAGAATTCACATTCTTTTCAGCCGCACATGGATCATCCTCCAAAATAGATCACATGCTAGCTCATAGAACTTGTTTAAGTAAATGCAAAGGAATATTATCAGATCATAGTGCAATTCAATTGGAGATTAATAGCATAAGAAGCCACAAGAACTTCACAAATACATGGAAATTGAATAACTCTCCTGAACAACCAATGGATCATGAGGAAATTAAAGAAGAAATTAGATAGTTTCTACAATTAAATGATAATGCCAATACAACACACAGGAACCTATAGGGCACAATGAAACCAGTTCTATGAGGGAAATTTAGAGCAGTGAATGCCCATACTAGGAAAATAGAGTGAGCTCAAATACACAATTCAATGCTGAACTTCAAGCTCCTAGAAAAAGAAGTGCAAGACAATCCCAGGGCTCATGCAAGGGAGGAAATTATAAAGATCAGAACAGAAATCAGTGCAATGGAGACTAAGAGAATGATATAAAAAAATCAACAAATCGAAGATTTGTTTGTCAAAAGGTTTGTCAAAAGAATAAATAAAGTTGACAAACTTTTAGCTAACTTTATCAAGAAAAGGGAAGAAAAGGCTCAAATCCATACAATTAAAAATGAAAGGGGTGAAATCACAACAGATGCAGCAGAAATCCAGAGGATCATCAATATCTACTTTGAGAACCTGTATTCCAATCAAATGGAAAACACAGAAGAAATGGACAAATCCCTAGATATATATAAATTAACAAAGTTGAACAAAAAATATACAAAAATTCTAAATTCGATCAGTGAAATTGAAAATTTAATTAAAAATTTACCAACAAAGAAAAGCCCAGGTCCTGATGGCTTCACTGCTGAATTCTACAAGAAATTTAGGACAGAGCTAATGCCACTACTTGTCAAACTCTTTCATGAAATTGAGAGGGAAGCAGTACTCCCAAATTCATTCCTGGAAGCAAGCATTACTTTGATTCCAAAAGCAGACAAAGACCCAAACCAAAAAGAGAACTATAGGCCAATCTCCCTAATGAACATAGATGCAAAAATCCTCAATAAGATACTAGCAAACAGAATACAGAGAATCATCAAGAAGATCATAGAGCCCAACCAAGTGGGATTCATCCCAGGGATGCAGGGATGGTTCAGCATATGTAAATCAATAAATGTAATACACTATATTAACAGATCCAAGGACAAAAACCGTATGATCATCTCAAAAGATGCAGAAAAAGCATTCCACAAAATCCAACACCCATTTATGATAAAAATCCTACAGAAAATTGGAATACATGATCTTTATCTCAATCTGATAAAGGTTATCTATGAAAAACCAACAATCAACATCATACTAAGTGGTCAAAAACTGAAATCTTTCACGCTAAAATCAAGAACAAGACAAGAATGTCCACTATCATCACTCCTGTTCAATATAGTTCTGGAAACATTAGCCACAGCAATTAGACCGGAGAAAGAAATAAAAGGAATAAAGATAGGAAAGGAAGATGTTAAACTCTCATTATTTGCTAAGGACATGATACTCTACATAGAAGACCCAAAAAACTGCTAAAAATCTTTTAGACTTAATTGACAGATTCAGTAGAGTAGCTGGATACAAGGTCAATGCTCAAAAATCAGTAGCCTTCTTGTATAAAAATAACAGACTCACTGAGAGCGAAATTGGGGAAACAAAATAGCACCCCCAAAAATGAAGTATCTAGGAATTAATCTAAGGAAGGAAATAAAAGACCTCTACCTTGGAAACTACAGCCCTCTGAAAAAAGAGATTGATGAGGATATAAGAAAATGGAAAGACATCCCTTGTTCCTGGGTAGGAAGAACCAATGTAGTGAAAATGATCATACTTCCAAAACTGCTATATAGATTCAATGCAATTCAGATTGAAATCACAAGAGTATATTTCACAGAACTAGAGAAAACAATCAAAAAACTCATTTGGAACAAGAAGAGACCTAAAATACCAAAAGCAATTCTAGGCAACAAAGACATGACAAGGGGTATCACAATCCCAAACATGAAACTATAGTACAAAGCCACTGTGATAAAAACATCATGGTGCTGAAAATAAACAAACCTGAGGATCAGTGGAATAGATTAGAAGATGCAGACAGGACTCTACACATACTCAGCCACCTCATCTTGGACAAAGGAGCCAACCACCCTCACTGGGGGAAAGATGGCCTCTTTAATAAATGGCTCTGGAAAAACTGGATTTCAACCTGCCAAAGATTAAAACTATACCCATCTTTCACCATGCACTAAACTAAAATCTAAGTGGATCAAAGATCTAAATATTAAGACAGAAATACTAAAGTTGCTGGAAGATAGGATAGGTAGAATTCTTGAAGACATTGCCATAGGAAAAGACTTTATGACCAAACCTCAGTAGCACAGGAACTAGCACAGAGAATCAACAACTGGGATCTCATCTTATTAAAAAGCTTCTGTACTATAAGAGAGACACCTCCAAAAGAGCTAAGAGACAACCTACAATGTGGGAAAAATTTTTGATGAGCTCTTCCTCTGACAAAAGACTATTATCTAGAATATATAAAGAACTTTAACAAATCAGACCCCCCAAATTTAAAGACCCAATTCAAAAGTGGGTATCTGAAATGAACAGACATTTCTCAGACAAAGAAGTAAAAGGAGCAACTAAACATTTGAAAAATGTTCAACATCACTGGTCATTGGAGAGATGCAGATAAAAACAACACTGAGATTCTACCTTACCCCAGAAAGAATAGCTGCTATCAAGATTTCAATCAACAACAAATGCTGGCAGGGTTGTGGGGAGAAAGGAACCCTTCTTCATTGTTGGTGGGAGTGTAGACTGGTGCAACCACTGTGGAAATGAACATAGAGATACCTCAAAAAACTAGGATTAGAGGTGCCATTTGGCCCAGTTATTCCCCTGCTGGGTATCTTCCCCCCAAAATTAAAAGAATCATACCACAGTGATATATGTGCACTCATGTTTATAGTGGCACAGTTTGTAATAGCTAAAACTGGGAAACAGGCCAAGTGCCCATCAACTGGAGACTGGATAAAGAAGATATGGCTTTTTAAAATAAAATAGAGTACTACTCAGCCATAAAGAATGATAAACTAGAGTCATTTATAGCTAAATGGATGCACACTGAGGCCATACTCTTAAGTGAAATAAATAGGACACACATGTAAATACCAAAGTTTCTCTGGTGTGAGAAACTGAATGTGTAAATAAGGATCAAAATGTATAACAGATAATGTGAAACAGGAAGAAAAGGTTTAAAGAGTCAGGGAAGTGGGAAGGTTAGGGGAAAGGAAAGAAGGGAAAAAATATAAGAAAAGGAAAAAATGGAAACCAAGTCTTTGTAAATATGGAGGGGTGGAGGGATTGAAGGGAGGGCAGGGAAATGGGGAAAAAATAAGAACCAAGATATATCATGTAAAGGTACAAATTCCCAATGATGAACATCATCATATTGTATACCTAAAATATACCAATAAACTTAAATGAATGAAAATATACAAATAAAAAGGAATATATATTAAAAATTAAAAATAAATAATTAATAACCAGAAAAATAACTAAACATAAGATCCAGAGCTAAAAAAACTCTCAGAAGAAAACACACAAAATGCTTCGTCACTGTTTTGGGGAAGGATATTTGGGGTATGATTCTAAAAGCACAGGCAACAAACACAAAGTATGACCAATGAAACCACATGAAACTTAAAATCTGCACAGAAAAGGCAACTATGTAAAGTGAAAAGGCAACCTATATAATAGGAAAATATTTCAAACCATATATCTGATAAAAGGTTAATATCCAGACTATATAAAGAACTCTTACACATCACTAATAGCAAGAAAAACAAATATTCTGATTTTGAACTGGGAAATAATTTGAATAATATTTCCCAAAGGTGATATACAAGTGCTCCAAAGCCATATGAGTGCTTCTCAACATCACCCATCACCTGAGACAAGCCAATCAAATCCATCACAATCTGTTACATCCTCATGAGAGAAATATCACCATCAACAGCAACAACCAAAAATAGCAAGTGCTGGTTGGATGTGAAGTAATGGGAAGGCTTGGGCACTGTGGGTGGAAATGTAAAATGGGAAACCATGATGGAAAAAAATAATAAAAAGTAGAATTACTACAGGATCCAGTAATTCCACTTCTACCATAGATTTTAAAAAATGAAAACAGGATTTGTGCGTGTTTCTGTGTGTGTGTGTCTGTGTGTGTGTGTGTTTGTGTGTAGTACTAGAGACTGAATCTAGACCTTTAGCACTGAGTGACATCCTGAGCTCTGTCTTATCTGTTTTGTTCTTTCCTCTTTTTTTTTGAGACAGGGTCTTGCTAAGTCAAGTAGTTACCTAGGTTGGGCTCAAACTTGTGATCCTCCTGCCTCAGCCTCCCAGAATGCTGGGATTACAGGCCTCCATCATAAGGCCTGCCTGAAAACAGGATCTTGGAGAGATACTTGCACACTCATGTTCACTGTGGCACCATTCACAGTAGCCAACAGAATAAGCCACCCAAGTACTCTTAGAAAGGTGAATGGATAAACAAGATGTAGGGTGTACGTGAAATAGAATATTATTCCATTGTAGAAAAGAAAGTGATCCTCTCAAATTCTAAACATGGATGAACATGGAGGACATTATGATAACTGTAATGGGCCAGTCACAGAAGAAGATACTGCAGTATCCTACCTGTAGGAGTTGTTTAATGTGGCAGATGCTCAGAACTGCAAGTAGAAGGGAGGAAGTCAGGGCTGAGGGTGGGGAAAGAGAGTCACTCCATGGGTACTGGTTCAGTCTTTCAAATAGAAGAATTCATAGAGTTCTCTTGCTCAATAATATGCATTTTGTTACACTACTGCATAGGAAACTGAAAAATGGTTGAAATGCTAAAGTTTATGATATGTGTTTTTTATCATAACTTTAAAAAAAAGCAAAGGAACAACACCAAGAAAGAACTGACAGCAGTGGTCACACAGACATAGTGGAGTGAGACACAGGAGCAAGGAGAGCACAGCTCAGCACAGCTTGGCATGGCTGAACAGCCTCTCTCTCAGCCCTGCACACTCCTCCCTCCTGCCAGTTACCTGCAGCATGGTCTAGTGAGCACTGGCATCCTGTGCACACCTTTTCCTAAAATAATAATACTGCTTATACTCATAAAAATTATGCCTTTTAAGAAGTAGAACCAAAACTTAGGAAGGGAGGGGGAGATACAATATAGGGCAAGGAGAAGTGGAGAGTCTATGCAGTGCCACTGGTGGTAATGTTTAAAATTCTAGCCTTAGGCATGGTTAAACACAAATAAATTTGTCCTAAACTTGGGCCGGGGATTTAGCTCAGTGGTTTCATCGCCTACTGCGCAAGCACAAGGACCGGAGTTCAATCCGGGGTACCAAAAAAAATAAATAAATAAAATTAATTAAATAAATAAAAATAAATTTAAAAATAAATTTAAAAAAATCTCAGCACAACTGTTGGGCTTCCTCCAATTATAAGCTGTCAAGTAATCAGACTATTTCCATATAAGGAAAATGTGGCTGCAGCCAATCAGTTTGTATGTGGATGTCACCTTCTTTTCTCTGGCCCAAGTGCAGCCTGTAGGTGGAATGGGGCATCCCTAACCATCTTCCATCTGCATGGCTGCTGGGTTCTAGAAACTTTTTTTTGGTCTTAAGTAAACTGTTAAATTGAACTGGTCTTGGTTTTTCTTTCAATGATCTGAGTATGAAACATGATATACTCAAGAAAATTCTTGCCAACAGCCTATGGACCAAAATCAGGAAGGCCAAGTGGGAGTCAAACAATAGAGCATCAGTCAGCATAATATAGGAAAACCTAAACCATCATTTCAGTAGGATTTTCAGCTACAAGATTCAGCGACCCAGAGATGATAATATTATGTTTAATTTTATATATACAACAGTATCATAACTTTTAGGAATGTGGAATGCTGTGGATAGTCTCTTTACTCAACATGTTACTATTATCTTAATTAACATTAAACTATTTTTAAAAGTGTTTACAGTTTATGTCATGTACTTCATTCCCCAAATATAATTTTCTCATAAAATATAGACAGTCTTGTTATGGTTTGGGTCTAAAATGCACCCCCCAAAGTCTTATGTGTCCAGAGGTAGGGCTTTTCAAAGGTGAGTGGATCATAGGGATGTTCATGGCTGAGATTGCTGTCAGGAGGTGGAGCCCAGGAAGAGGCCATCACTGGGGGCATAACCGGGAGGGATGTGTTCTTAACCGCCTTTTATCTCTATTGTACTGTAACATAACTAAAGGGTATACCCTTATATTTAAGCAAGTGAGTCTCAGCCAATCACAGCAGTTGAGCATCGAACAATCGTAGGTTGAAGCTTTCTGGCCACCATGAATTGAGTGGCTGTCTTCTGCCATGCCCTTTAACCATGCTGTTTCCATTGTGGACCCAACACACCATGGACTGAATCCGTAGGAAACTGGAAGGAAAAATAAAGTTCTACCTTTACTTATGGGTATTGGGTAATCATCCCTGAAACAGGAAAGTTTTCAGGTCTAATACAGGTCTTCAAACTCAAATTTTTCTACCAAAGTATTTCATTCATAGTGCATATAAATGAAGAAGGAATGTTGCTCCATTTTAATAATGGTGACAGGAATATCATAATACCACACACGTAGTCATGTATACATTGAAATATTTAGTGTAATTTGTGGTGAGAAGAAACTATACACTAAATTTAAGAAAATTTTTTATAAAATTTGACAATACCTTTAGGATAATGAAGGGATAATTGCAGGTTATATAGAATAGTCACCCAGCCAGAATGATGCATTCCACACCCTTCCATATCACAAGTTTACAGACTCTGGATGCCTGGTTTTATAACTACCATTTTATAGTGTGTAAAATTATATAAATTATATCCCACTGGTCTCAGACATTGTTTTAGGTACTTCCATGAATGCTCACAGAAAATCTTATAAGTTAGGGATTTTGAATCCCAGATACATTGAAGCTGAATTGAAACTTAGATGAGTTAAAATTGAGCCTACTTTGCTGGCAGCTCCAGAATTTCTCTGTGGGATAATTTCAGGGTCTGATGGAGAAGTTGTGTTTGCATAGCAAATAGAGTCTTTTGAGATCACTTCCTGTAGGAGTAGGGCTACAGTAGAAAGTCCACATCTCTCCCAATGTCTCTAGGTTGCTCCCACTGCCTGAAATTTGCTCAGCCCTTTTGGGATTATAACCCACCTGAGTTCATAATCGGTGCATTTTGTAGAACAGAACTCTGCTACAAGAACAGGAAGAAGAGATGAGAGAGAATTATTTCACATTTTGTGTAAAATCTCATCTGTAGATTTCACAATCACTCTTTCTTAAGATTGGGATGATAAGAGAGGTATTTGCCACCACCAATCTTTTCCTAATCCCATCCTGGGGAGCAGCAAGAAGCCAAAACCCTCTGTCAGATATAAGAGATCCACAATCAGCGGCATCACCTTCCTGCGTGTCCCCTCAGCTGTCATCAAGCAGTGGCTCACAGCCTCCTCCTTCTAGGGCTGTGCCTCTGCGGATTCCCCTTTCATTTACCCATAGTCAAGGTCACTGCCTTGATTAATGACTCAAAGTGTAAAATGAAAGAGAAAGAGGCAGGGTGCAGAGAGACAGGCTCAGAAGCGCTGCACTCAGATAACACACTCGCCTGATGAAGACCAATTGATGTGAGTCCCCACCATGAGGATCCTCCAGCAGTTCATATCCAGTGTGGAAACAGATAGCACTGGCTATTTATTTGGGAAAAGTCACACAGCTTGACATATTCTCTGTTTCTCTTTTCCTCCAGAGAATCCCCAACACCACAATTAAGGGAAATTACAGTGTTAAAGGCAAGCAGTCCCCTTCGTCCCTCTGGCAGTTCCCTTTTTATGGTCATTTATTTTACCTGTGTTCTAGGAACAAAAGAGCTAATTTTCTGACAAAATTTTATTGATAGTTCATTTCATAGCGAGCTGACATGCCTCAGCTGCTGTGCTTAATATGTTGAAAAGATGAAGAATAATACCTGCTCTCAAAATGGAGCAGAATTCAACCAAAATGCAACCAAGTGTTAGGCATAGTTTTTCAGTTCTAAAAGTCTTCTTGGCCTTTTTAATAAAGACAGAAATTTTTATTATCTTTTTGTCGTTCTCACTTGCTTAAATGTTGTGATTGTCACAATGACTCAAAATCGAGTCAAAGTGTTTTAACTCACCTTAACTGACTTGAATCTTGTGTTCAGTCGTCTTCATGAGAACATTAAAAAAAGAAAATCTAGAGTTAGAAGTGAAGATAGGGCAGAGTAGTGATAAAAAAGGAAATAACAAAGAGCCCCAGAGCGCCATAAGAAGGCAGAGAAGGAAAGAAAAGAATGAGGGGGAGTTCAGACAGGCTACACGATCTGTACAAAATATAAATGCACAGTTTAGATCAGTTATGGTTTAGATCCAAAATGGTGCCCAAAAGTCTCATATATTCAGATATGGGGCTTTTGAAAGGTGATTGGGTCATGGGGTTCCTGGGGGCTTATAGCTGACTTGCTGGTGGGGATTAATCTATTGATAAGTTCAGATCTCAATGTGCTGGAGGAGGTGGGGCCTGGTCAGAAGAGACAGGTCACTGGGGGGCTGGGCCGGAAAGGATGTATTCTTGTCCCCAGCTCCTCTTGTCTTTGCTTCCTGGCTGCCATTATGTGGAGACTTAAATCTAGATGTTGCCCAAAATTTTCATGAACTCATAGGTGGGGCTTGTGGAAGGTGATTGAATCATGGGAGCTTACATCTGACTTGCTATAAGGAGGTGGAGTCTAGTCAGAAGAGAGGAATCACTGGGGTGTGGCCTGTCACCATCTCCCCTCTTTGCTCTGTGTCCTGTTTGCCTTGATGTGAGCAGCTTTCCTCTACCTGGTCCTTCTACCATGCCATTCTGCCTCAGAGCTGGTCAACTATGGTCTGAAACATGCGCCAAAACAA